AATGGCGTGGTAGGTAATATCAGAGGAAACGAAAGTAAAGGACAGTAAGACATTTGAAGAAAGGACAGTATTACCCAACAGGTATGTATGGATTGAAGGGAAGAGTCAGACCTCACATTCCTAGCCTGACGCACTAGTAGGGAAAGTGGTGGTACCAGGGACAGAAGAGTGTTACTAGGAAAGAGGAATGGAGTTTGAAAATAAGGGAAATCTGGTTTAAAGTGATCCTTAGAAACATTAGAAATACAGGCATATACTTTCTCCATCTTACCCTTGAAAAGTTAACAAGATCCTCCTTTAAAGTGCATATTCTTTATTCTGTTCATTGGGCAGTAAGTTAAATACTTAAGCACAAAACAAAGTTATATATTCTGTAATGTATATACATAAATACAGGGAAATGATTTGGAAGGATACATATACACTTCAGTTGCTAAGAATGGTCACCCCTAAGGAGAAGACTGGGGTCACAGGTAGTAATCAGGGGAGACTTCAGTTTTTTCTGTATTTAAATTTTGATGAAAACATACATGTGTTACATAATTTTAAGTGAGAAAGTAGACTCTGCTGAGTAAATACAAAAGTGTTGCTGCATGGATTTTAAGAGTTGTGAGCGTTTCTGGGGCTTCTGTGCTGGTAGAGGAGGTTGTGGTTACTGAGCAGCTTCTGAAGAGCGAGTGGAGCGAGCACAGCTGGAAACTGGGTTTCTGGTGAATAAACCACACCCTGTTAGAAGGCACGGGCTCATGCAGTCTTAAAAACTCTGAATTTTCATGGATGTGTTTAATGATTCTCAATAAGAAACAGTGGTGACTTGGTCGCTAAGAGCTCTTTGTATGTTTCTGGGTGTGTGTCAAAAGGAAAAACATTGAGGCACATTCAAGTTGTGGTTTCCACTGACTCTCACGCTGGTCTGTTTTCTTCATCACCATAGCAACTTAAGCTAGTTTTTGCTTTTGATTTTTATTTCTCATAGAAAAACTCAGTGTACACCACCCTCAAGGATAGTAAGGAATATCTTTGGTGATTAAGTTAAAAGGCAGAAGTGTCTTGTGCTGTGTGTAGTTTACAGATGGCTGCATTTCATTAATGTTCTTTTGAGACATCTGGATACCAGTTAGCTCAAAGCAGCTCATTCTGAGAATAAAAGGGGTGCTTTCAAAGTTCCCATAGTAAAGTAGGTTCTTAATTCTACCCCAGCCCTTCATCCAATTTTACCAAGTTTGATAAATAATAAAGATTGTCATGGGTGGTTTTCTTTAGTTTCTCTGGTGAACTGACAGCACAGATTACTGTTGTCCATCAGAAAGTGGTCCTTGCTTTTAGACCCATTTCTAATGATAGCAGTCCTGTGGTCCACACCTGTGTAATCACCCCATTTGCTTTCTAGTTTAGCCAGCTTTTCATTGAAAATGCCAACCCTGTTCAAAGACTCAGTTGATTTCTTCCCACACATTCATAATGCTGGTGTCAACAGAGGCTAACAAACAGTGCTCTAAGACTTGAGGATACCAGAAAAACTTAATTTACTTTTCACCATTTCAAGAATAAGATTTTTCTTTCTCTTTTCTATCCCTGTGCCCCCATCTGATCTCTGTTTGGTCCTGCTCACCTTTAGCCTTCTCTGCCACGCTTCCCTTTCCACAGAACAGGAGGAAAGGCTTGGTTTTATAAAAAGTGATGATATTTAGACCGCAAATAGGATCCTCCTTGATTCATTTTGGTTTGAAACATTTTAAGGTTTTCTGGCTTTTTTGTATGTATGTGTATATTACCTGTTATCTGGCATTATTGAACAACTTTGTCTTCAAATTGAGTATTGAAATATTAGGCATCCAGTAATGCTTTTTTCCTTTTCTTTCAGAACTTCGAAGTATGTGTCCTATCCTTTTGTCCTTCAGTGCTAGAGCTCTGCTGTCTCTTAGTCCACCAGGTTTAGTTTTAGTGGAATATATCTTCTTTTATACAGTCATATTCTTAGTGTCCAGTAGAACGTGGTTAAGATTTTTCAGGTGCCCAGCCAGGCATGGCTCAGCGGTTGAGTGTTGATGTAGGATCCGGAAGATCGGGGTTCAATTCCCGGTCAGGGCACATGCCGAGGTTGCAGGCTCGATCCCCAGTTGGGAGCCTGCAGGAGGCAGCTGATCAATGACAATTCTCTCATCACTGATGTTTCTATCTCTCCCTCTCCTTCTCCCTTCCTCTCTCTGAAATCAATAAAGATATATTTAAAAAAAAAAAAAANTTTCCTCTCTCTGAAATCAAAAAAAAAAAATTTAAAAAAAAAAAAAAAAAAAAACAGGTGACAGTGTATTTTCAGTAATTGTCTTTGGTTTCCAATCCCAGAACAGGAAGAGCAACTCGCTTTCCTGCATGTGGGTAACTCCTTTATTACTAGGGTTTGTTTCATCTCAAGTATTGCTACAAAGTATTTATTTTGAGACTTTATGTTTTTCAGAATAACAATTTGAATAACTTTTTCTAGCATATCTGCCAGGTTCTAGAAATAAAAACATTTACATACCATTGATTAGTTTGAAAGGTAAAATGAAAACATGTTTCTTCTTTAGCCCAAACTACCACCTGCATTCACCTCTGGGTCCCACCCTCTCAGCTCCAGCACTCTGCCCCTCTTTCCTGCCAGCTCCTCCCTGACCTCTGGCTACTAAAAGTTCTTCATTGGTTCATAGCCTGCAGAAAAGGCCTGCGGTTGGGAGGTACTTCTTCTAATTCTTGCCATTGAAATCTCTAAATGGGTGTGGCTAGGAAGGAAAATTTTTCTTACAAACCAGAATTCCTGGGTCCTGTCCGTTGGAAACATGTTTTTTGTTACACACGCAGTGTTTTTGACTCATCATTCCAGGACTTTTGCAATGAATTAGACATTTTATTTACACCCTTTTGTAAAAGGAGGAGTCTAGTTCCTAATTAACATCTATATCCAGAAGATGTTTCCCCTGCTCTCAATAAGCTATCTAAAAATAGTGTTCCTATTAAACCTTTTGTAAGCCGAAATGGTGTGAATCGAAGAAGCAATTACCATTAATTTATATGGAAAAAATTTTGAGTACTCTCAGACCCAAAAAATAACCTACCAAATAACACATAGAACCTATAATAACACTAAGATATTAAAAGCAGTGCCACTCCTGCTGCTCTGGGTGCATGCTGCCCCTATGAAGGTGCGCTGCAAAGCAAACACTGAACACTTTCCTATTTTTCATAAAACTGAAGATCTCTTTGGTTTTCTTTCTGTTAGCACAGACAGGTACTGGTGTAGGTCTCATAAAAGTGAAGAGGCATAACGCGAAACACAGGATGCCTGTAGTATTAGGATTGCTGGTTTCCCAGTGAATGTTAATTATAAGCACTGAAAAAGGGAAAGTAACTTTTTCACCCACTTAAGACAGCAGGGAAAATTGAAATAACTTAGTGACTACTTCCACAGGCTCTAAAAGGTAATGAAAACTATGCTTTATGTGTAATAGGAGGAATACTAACTAATAGTAAACTATTTACTATCTCCATGAATTTATCTTGAGAAATAAGGAAACCAAGATTCATTAAGCCTTGCACGCATTGCCCTGTGTGATCCTGACATGAAGCCTAAGAGCCGTGTATGGGCCTCCCTGGGTGAGCAAGTGCAGACACCCCCAGCAGATGGTCCTGGACTAGGTCACTGGTTAGGAAGTGCTGGACACTGCATCCAACCCAGGCCCCTGGCCTAACATTGTTTTTGCATTTCGTTCTAAAAGACACAAATGCTTGGGGTTTTTTGCTTTGGTTTCTTTTTCTATGTAGGAGGCTTTTTCAGAGGAGGAGATGACTTAGTCTTCCCAGAAGATAAACCCTCTACTTTTTTTGAGTTGCAGATAGCCTCAATGCAAATACTTGATCTTAATATTACTTAAAATTTTTATTTTGTTTCTGTCTGGAGTACATTTTAGGTACCAGTACTTTCGATTTTTAGTGCTTTATAGTCCTCCCATAATATATATGAACACTTAGGGTGAATTATATAGAACCTACATATATATCAGAATTTAGTGGCCATGGCTTTTCTCTTTCCATCTTAAGCTTTAGGAGTCAAGGAATATTCACATATTATTCAGCATGTGTTTGGGTGCCTAATACATGCCATTTTTTGTATGAGGCATCAGGAATTAAAGCAGTAAACAAAGCTGTGCCTTCACAGGGAAGCCAAGGTCAACAGATAAAGTCAGTAGTAAACCATTAAATAAGATAGAAGGGGCTGCCTAGCCAGGCATGGCTCAGCAGTTGAGCATCCACCTAGGATCCAGGAGATCTAGGTTTGATTCCTGGGCAGGGCACATGCCCAGGTTGCGGGCTCAACCCCCAGTCGGGGGCGGGGCGTGCAGGAGGCAGCCGATCAATGACAACTCTCTCATCATTGATGTTTCTATCTTTCCCTCTCCCTTCCTCTCTGAAATTAATAAAGATATATTAAAATAAAAAGATAGAAGGGACTAGAAAGTGGGGATGTGGAAGAGGTGCTATTTTAAATAGGGTGGTCAGGGAGGGCTTTTAACAGGGACCTCAGAGAAGTGGGGAAGGAAGCAGGCTGTACAGACATTTACTGAAAAATAACAATATACTTGTTATTTCTCAATCTTAATAACAAGTACGTTTATTCCACAAATGTTGTGAGAACCCATTATATGTAAGATTCTAAGAGGCCACCTTTCTAAATATAATCATTTTATTTTTCTAATAGGCCAAAGAAACACGCCCAGATTCAGCATTTGTTCTTTATGATCACATACATAAAAGATAAAATTCTCTTATGACAGGTCATTTATGGCCGTAGCCTGTTTGGCTCAATGGTTAGAGTGTTCGCCTGTGAACTCAAGGGTCCCGGGTTCAGTTTCGGCCAACCGCATGTGCCTTGGTTGCAGGCTCAATCCCTGACCACAGGGCACATGCAGGAAGCAGCCAGCCGATGTGTCTCTCTCACATCGATGTTTCTCTCTCTCCTTTCCACTCTCTCTGAAAATCAGTGGAAAAAATATCCTCAGGTGAGGATTAAAAAAAAAAAAAGGTCATTTATGTAGAAGTAGATGTTTTCTGAAACATAAGAAACTAGCTTTTAAAAATGACTACGGAAGTTTTCCCAAACTACCAGTTCATTAGATACTGTATATTTCTATCTGAAAACTTCTTTTTCCCCAGAATTCTTTGAGATGTGCCTGGGTTCCTCCATTTCTTGTGACTCTCAGTGGAGTTGTACCCAATTTCATCTAGATACCCTTCATCTCACAAGCAAACACAGCATCAGGGAGCCCCAGCGAGTGTGCAGACAAACAGCAGCCTCAGGCCTCTCTCTTCCTTGGGGTCGAGAAGCAGAGGACCATGGAATACACCACATGGTTAACCCTGCAGAACTTAGATGGTGATTGACCAAGACCTAAACCAAAGTAGTGGGCAAACCTAGTTTCTGTGTTCCCGCTACCAAACACCTGTGCTGCTAAATACAGGGGTGGGCATTAAGACTTAGTTACCTATCTGCTTGGCTACCTCCTGTCCTTGCAGAAAGAATGAAAAGAATTACTCATCCCCAGGAGGAAGAGATGACTTTCTCAGGTTCTTATTTCTTGGTTGAAAGAGGCTAGCAGTGGGTGAGGGAAGGAACAGGTAAGGCTCTCTGAGTATACCCATTTGAAGCTAAAACCTCTATTTAGCCATCTGATATCGAAGTTGAATCTGTTATACCATTTGCCCATATCTGTATGTTGTCAGAAAGCAAATTTCTTGAACTCCCCGTTACCAAATCACCCAAACCAAAAGGTAAAAGAAAATAAAGCTTTTGCTAAGTTAGCTGCCTTCCTAAAAGTGTAAAAAACATTCATTTGAAGGTAATTTTTTTTCTTGTGAAATCATAGTTACTGTTGCTTCTCACTGGGTTGTAAGTCCCTGAAGGACAGGGCTAGTTCTTACTCCTCTCTAAATCCCTAGGAACTCTCTTGGATGCTCTTAGCTATCAGAATGCTTAAAATCACATTCAGTGTTCATCCTGTAGCTCTTTCTGAGTATCTGCTGAGCAGCTTTTCCTTTTGGTCTTTCATATTGACTTTTTATTATAAGCTACTTGGAGCGTTCTTGAAAATAACCGGGGTGTAAAGTGTAAAAAGTGTGGACATTTTCCATATGTAGCATTATTTTAACCTGTCAGAGGGATGTTCTAAATGCATTCCCTTCTTTCTCACCCCCTCCCTTTTTTTAAAACTACCAGGTATTCGTTACAGCACTGATGTGAGTGTAGATGAAGTAAAAGCTTTGGCTTCTCTGATGACATATAAGTGTGCAGTGGTTGGTAAGTGATCTCCTTTGTTGTTACCTAACAAGAGCTCTTTGGGGAAATATGTTTATATACGAGGTTACTTGTAAGATGTTAGAGAAAAATAGACTTTATCAGAACTGATTTTTTTGTTTCACAGTTTAAGGCTTGTATCATTTTTCAATTAGTCTTAATTAAGATTTAACTTTTTTTTTAATGTTATTGTTTTTTAATTGATTTTAGAGAGAGAAGAGGAAGGGAGAGAGAGAGAGAGAGAAAGAAACATCGATGTGAGAGAGAAACATCGATCAGTTCCTCCCATACACAGCCCAGCCGGGGACCAAACCCGCATCCTGGGCATGTGCCCTCACCAGAGTCAAGCTGGCAACCTTTAGTGACTCTCAGCCAATTGAGCCACACCTGCCAGGGCTAGATTTAGTCTTCTTTTAAATGGGGAACTTTTTATAGCAATTAATTGTATTTTCTTCCTTTAAGTGTAGACCTCTGTGTAAGGCCTTTTCTGTCTTCTTAAGACCGGATCACACTAGAAGGAAAATAAGAATGCTGTTTGCTTTCAGAAGTAGTAAAACACGCTGATTAAATATGCATTTTAACTTCTGTTAACTAGAATTTTAAATCACAGCATTTTAGAAGAGGTCAATATGGGTTTATTGCTTGAATTTTCTGAAATTAAAGCTTAAAACATCGCACATTTTTGTAATAGTGCATAGTGCTTTCTTCTTTTTTAAGTTTGTTATCCTTTCTATGGAATAACAACTTTCAGCCTCCTCTTTCAGATGTGCCATTTGGGGGTGCCAAAGCTGGTGTTAAGATCAATCCCAAGAACTATACTGTAAGTACCGTAATGACATTTGTGCACATGGCACACTAGCAAAGGACTTGATTACTAGGTGTTTGTGTGCCCCACACCAGTGAGATCAGTGGTCTTTAAAAGGAATGGGAAACAAGCAGATAACTGACTCGCTGAGCGCTTGCCATGTGAAAGGTCACCAGCTTCTCCTTTTTCACTCTCTTATTTGGTTAAAAGGTAATTAATACTTTCATATTCTTAGGCCCTTACATGCATATTTATAAATTACCATGATCTGAGATTTTTGTATCAGGATCTCAGGATTCTAGTGACAAATATCTGGTAACTAATCTGGTAACAATCTTACTGTTTATGCTATCAATTCCAAGATAATTAAGCTAGTTGTTACTATGTTTGGTTTTTTGTTTGTTTTTTAATATGTTTTTATTGGTGTCAGAGAGAGGAAGGAAGAGAGGGAGAAAGAGAGAAATATCAGTGATGAGAGAGAGTCATCAATCAGTTGCCTCTTGCACGCCCTCTCCTGGGGATCAAGCCTGAAACCTAGGCATGTTCCCGGACTGGGAATCAAATCCATGATCTCCTGGTTAATGGGTCAGTACTCAACCACTGAACCACACTGGTTGTGCGTTACTATGTTTTATATAGTACCAAATTAATATCTGTTAACAGACATACAAATATATATGATTTTATTCTTTTAAAAGTTTGCCCTTTAAATGAAATATTCCGTAGCAAGTGCTTATAGGGTTTTATATTAATCAAGAGAACAGGAACTGGAATTTGAGCCCTACTTCTACTCCGTTGTTTGTATAACCTAATTTCTAATCTCTCATTTTCTTATCTTTAAAATGGAAATGCCTGCTTTATGAGTTCTGAGAAAAAACAAGAAGCTATATGAAAATGTCCTATAAATAGAAAATATGATAAAACTATTTTTTCTACAAGTGGATTTCCTATCAAAGTCTTTTTTGTTTTTATTTTTTCTTTACAGGATAATGAATTGGAAAAGATCACAAGGAGGTTCACCATGGAACTGGCAAAGAAGGGCTTTATTGGTAGGTGTTGCCATGTTTTTTACTTTGAGAGACTGGGTTCTGTGATAAGTATGGTGAGATACCTAGGCCTCTTTATGACACATCTCTCATAGAAAAGTTCAGGTTCCCAGTTTGCAGTATGGACACCAGGAGAAGCCACTTCCATCTCTTCCCTTGGACATAGTAAAGGGTTTCAGTAACTCTTAACAGCATTGTACAGTCGCTACTGCAACTTCCAGAAAGACCAAGGCCATACGTTTAGGAATTAAACAATACCTGTATTGTAAACATTTTTAATATGTAAAAAGCATTTTTACAGTAGTAATCCTGTTGTTCTGATAGCAGTGAGAAGTCTGGTGCCTTTTGGAACTGGAGTCTTGTGCCACCTGTGCCTTGAAGCAGTGGGCACGGGCAGAGATGGGAGGCTCATGCCAGTGACTCGCTCTGTGTCACTGGCTGATTTTGAGGATTCCTAAGATTCTTATTGTTTGTTACTAGGAGCTTTTGCAGACTAAATTTCTGAAGGTGCTGATCTTCATTTGGTTGATGTTTTCGTATCATACTAATAATTATCTGTGTCATATGTTCTTTGTGAAATAGGAATCTTTTCTGTGATGCATGAGTATTTGTCAATCTTTAATTTGTAAGCACTGAGTCTGTGTATTTCTTTTCTTGTTCTAGAAATATTCTGATTTATTTAATAAAATAGACCAAATTACTTACTAGAATGTTTGCCTTTTCAACACAGTCAAACTAAAGAAGACTAACATAGGAAAGATCTACTTTTTCTCCTTTTCTGCCCCTGTGGTTTTTCCCCCTAGTACTCCCCCCATTGTTGATAAGTTCTGTGAACTTAAGATATCCTTAGGGGAAAGGGCGTGAAATAAACTAATATAGAAATAAATGTAGGTAATACTAGAACTTTGCTAGATTTGACCTGACATCCATTTCAAAGGCATTTGGACTCTTGGCATGCCTCCTTTCCTCCACACCACTGTGGACTTGCATTAGTTCGTGAGTACTCCCTCCTGCACAGGAGTGCCTACTCATCCTGAGAGTTATGAATGGAAGTCATGTTCAGCCTGTTGATAGCCTTCATAATTTTTTATCTTGTATTTCCTCTTCTCTGAAATCTCAAAAGTATTTAATAGTCTTGAGTGATTTCATATTTTATTCAGTTGTATTTATTGCCCATTATCCAGAGTATATTCAGCTTAATTTTCTCTATATTGGCAAGTATCTTATAGTTCCAAAGGTTAAAAAGTGGTTCGTGCCTTGACCTGTTTGGCCCAGTGGTTACAGTGTCAGCCCACAGGCTGAAGAGTCTTGGGTTTGATTCCAGCTCAGGGCATGCACCTCAGTTGCAGGCTTAATCCCCAGCCAGCCCCGTTGGGGCGTGTGCGGGGGGCAACCAATTGATGTGTCTCTCTCACATCAGTGTCTCTCTCCTCTCTCTCTCTTTCTCTCTCTCTCCCCCCCTCCCCCTCCCCCTTCTCTAAAAATCAATAAAACGTCCTCAGGTGAGGATTTTAAAAAACAACGACCTTAGAAGCGGGAGTCGTGGCAGGGAGGGGTAGGGAGCATGAGATAAGTTCCCTCCAGTGAGCAGTCACCACACGTAGCGCCTGCCGCTGCTCTGCAGCCGGTGTTTTTCCACGGCCCTCCCTGCCATTCTGAGTTATGGGCAGAGCTGTGAGTCACCACGGTGCCTGACCCACCCTGCGCTCATTGTCCTAAGGGAAACCCGGGGCTGCTGTGGGCCCAGGTGTGTGGACGGGCTCGCACCGGCGGCCCAGGCACCTGCCCACAGGAAAGGGGCCCCTCAGTCCTATCCCCTGGTGCCTTGCGTCAAGAGGAAGGTCCCTTTGAAAGACTGGGGGAAGCGTTTTAAAATACATTTCAGCTCTTCTGTCCGCATGCACTTCCCAGTCCCACCAGGGAGAGATCATGGTCCTGCCCACTCCACAGCAGGCCCTCTACCCCAAGGCCTTATGCTCCCTCCCGCCTGTCAGGTTTGGGGGTGAGGACTGGGGGTTTTGGGCAGTAGGTTGAAGCCCGGGGTGTGAATTCCAGCCCTAGGAGCCACTTTTCTGATCTCTTAAACTGGGAGGTACCATAGTGCCCTCCCCAGGCTCTGCAAGGGTTAAAGGAGAACCAGAAAGTGCCCCAGCTCAGCTCCCCTGGTCTTTGGAGGAGCCTGGTCTCCACAGCCCTCCCTGCCCCAGCTCCTCTGCTCCCCGCCTGCAGTCCTTTCACCACCACCACCCCCAGGCTCCTGTTTAAACC